AACTGGCGCTGGACTCCGTGCAGCACGCAGCCCGTGCCTCTCCCTCCACACCTCCCTGCAAGCAGAGGGAGCCGGCTGCAGCCTCGGCCAGCCCAGAGAGGGACTCCCACAGTGCCGTGGCGGGCTGAAGCGCTCCTCAAGCGCTGCCAGAGTGGACGCTGAGGCTGAGGAGGCACCGAGAGCGAGGGCTGCTAGCATGTTGTCACCTCTCAATAGGAGAGCCATGTGATTAGGAGCCTAGGGCTTTGTGATTAGGAGCCTAGGGCTATGTGATTATTCTTGACCAATGAGTTTGGAAAGAAAGCAATGCATATCACTACTAATCTGGGAGTATTTAAAGACAATACAAATTCCATGTCTTTCTTCCCCTGCTGTGGCAACTGCCCTATGTATAAGAAAAAGAATATTTGGACGATTTCAACTGTAATTATTTGCGTTATTCTTCTTCAATATAAACCACTCCAGATTATTACTATAGATATTTCCTAGACAATTTCTCCCCACAGGGAGGTTCTCTGAAATTATAGAGCTGGACAGGGAAGAAAGGCCCAGAAACCTAGAAGCCATGAATTAATTATGTAAAAACGTTTTGATGGTTAATGGTCCTTACAATCAGACTCGTACAACACCGGCCCCTCTCAGGTTCCCCTTTCTGTGCCCTTCTTCCCCTGGGCAGTGCCTATCAGAGGCTCCTCTTCTCTCCCAGTGGCATCTGCTTTAGAACAATCCCTGCTGCCAGTGTGAATGAGGTTTAAGCCCTTCTCGGGGGGTCATTTGCATCTAGACAAACTTCTAACTGTTAGGACATATCCCAGCTGGGAAGGATTGAAATCTACCAACTTCCTTGGCATTCGTGCCTTTCTTTCTAGTACAGATGAAATAATTAAAACACTCTTTTTTCACTTTTGAGAAGAGACAGTTGGCCCACATGACAGTAAATAACTACTGATTAACTTTCCATTTAAACTTTATTTTGTTTAATGGCATGAAAGAGAATTTCAGACATAGGCACGTGGTGGGGTTTGTTAGCAGTCAGGAAGCTCAGTGAAGATTCAAGAGAGGAAGAAGACCATCTGGAGTTTCAGTTTTACTTTCTTTTTCTCTGGGAGCTGAGCTACAAGATAACAGGACTGAACAGGGAGCCAACTGTTTCTTTGGACAGTAAATCAGGTAAGCCAAGATTTACAAAAAGTTCTGCAGTGTTGATTTCTAGGTTCCAAGCCATGCACAAACATTTTCATTTTTCTTAGAACAAATTTGTCCTATTTTAAGAGAAACAATTTAGAGTGACTGCCTTTTCCTTAGGTGAAGCCAGTTTACAGGAAACCAATGCAATTTGCTTTACACATCACTGGCAAAGAAAGAATTTCCATAGTATAAAGCCAATAAAAAGTGCTAACTGGGAAGAATCTGGGCATTAACATGTGGCTTTCAGTTTTCTGTGCTTGTAGGCTTGGTCTATGCCTGCCAGATTTAAGCAAGAGAGACTAGCTGATGAAAATGTACCGATACTTCTCACTGCATAGTAGTTCCTAGATTGCAAGGGCTTCATAATCAATGGCTGTTGGGGAATGAGGAAAATTCAAGCAATTGATGGATCAAGTGAAGTGTATTTCTGGCTTAAAGGATTGCACGGTTTCCCAGAGTCATAATCTTAATTCATTGAGTCTGTCAGCAAAGACTCAACATGAGGGAGGAGGTTTGGAGAGAGTAGAGGAGGGAAGGAGGCAAGGTGGAAAAAGAAAGAGAGGGAAAGGGAGGACTGAGCCTCAGGTGTAAGGGAAGGCACACCTACAAAGAAAGCTGACAGAAGGGAAGAGTGTGCAGGCAAAACAAAAACAGAAGGGAGCCGGGCTGACCTGTGAGAGGATGGGAGGAAGGAAGCGAGAGAGAACTGGGCGTGAGGCTTACGAACGAAACCCACTTCTCAGCTCCTCAGCAAGTGATTCCAGTTCTCTGTAAAGTAGGAAGTCATTCTTTTCCCACCCATCTTGTCCCTTATTAGTAGACAAATGAAGCATGGTTGTTTAGAAATATAAGGATCTTGGCCTAGCGCGGTGGCTTATGCTTTTAATTCCAGCACTTTGGGAGGCCGAGGCGGGTGGATCAATTGAGGTCAGGAGTTCAAGACCAGCCTGGCCAACATAGTCAAACCCTGTCTCTACTAAAACTACAAAAATTAGCCAGGGGTGGTGGTGCACACTTGTAATCCCACCTACTCGGGAGTCTGAGGCAGGAGAAT